GTGCAAGCACCATCTACGCTTGCAGGGTTTAGGGTTTAGGGTTTAGGTCAGGGTGAGCATCCACCCCGACAATTTATAGAGGGATTACGGGGTATGTATTGGGGTCATATAGGGATAATGGACGAGAAAATGGAAACCAAATGGGTTATAGGGATCCTGTAGGGATTGTATAGGCACCTTGTCTCCACCCTCCTGCACCATGAAGCAAGAAAGCCTTCATGCATCACAGGGGCATCGAAAACAGCACTGTCCTGCTCGCGCTTTGCCTCAATGGGCTGGATGGTCCTTAGCTGCAGCGGATTGCATCATGTGGTAGTTTCCCTGAAAAAGGGGACCCCAATATAGCCCCAAAATACTACGATCCTGATTATTGGGACCCACAAAATGGTACCCCTGATTTTGGGAAACCCTCAATGTCTTTTCAGATAGGCACCCGAGGGCTGTCCTGCCGGATTGCTGTCCTCCCTCCCTGCTTTCTCCCACTGCGCTTCTTGGACGCTGCAAATCCCCGCCACTGACAACCTCTGACATCACTGATCATCAGCTCAGCGTCACACGCCCCTTCTCAAGCTGTAGGCGCACACACCCAGAAAAGAGCAGGCAATGTGCTGCTGCCGCAGCCATGAGATGCTTCGATTGCCCGTGGTCCTTCATTTTCGAGGGTCTCTCCGCATGAAGGTCAGGACAGAAGAGTCTTTCTTCAATTGTACGCAAGTGCTTTTTCCTGCTAAGACTAGGGTAAGCTTCAGGCTTATGAAGGCCCGACCCTGCAGCCACAGAATCACAAAGAACGGGCCCATCCTCTGCCAAGCAGGAAGCGTTTCGCCACACCGGTTTCACCCTCACCTTGATCAAGTCACCTTCTTCCTCCGCAAGGCCCACGAAGCGCCTACCAGAAGCAGCAGCTGAGTAGTGTTTTATTTGGTGGTTGAACCTAGTAAGATTAAATCCCTTATATGAAATACTATACCCCAAATAATCTTACTCTATAATGAATACCATAGTATCCCCAAATAAAATACTACTCAGCTGATTTCTGAGTCTTTGACATCTCAGATGCAGCTCGGCCAATACTCTTACCCTAAAGGTCCAAGTACCCAACAACTAGGTACTTGGGTAGTGGGTAGTAGTAATGATAGTACAGGCTTTGAATAAGTACATGATTATTGGGTACTTGGACCCTTTGTTTGTTGCAGCCGTGGCTTGTGCGTAGCTCTTGTAGGTTGGCAACAGCCGTGTTCGAGATCCCGAAGCCTGGAGACCCATACCTTGGGTGCAGCCCCGCCGTGTCATAGTGACTACAAGAGATAATACAGATTATGTTAGAGTCCTATTATATTCCTATTATACCACTATTACAGGGTGTTGGGTCCTCCTAACCCATACCTTCAACCAGCCCTGAACTTAAGCCCTTGGAGCTCCAACCCTCGAGACATGGAGCGTTGCCTGCAGGGTGCCAAGGCCCCATGCTGTTTGAGGATCAAGTACAGCAAAAGGCCCGGAATGACAACTCCGTACATCACTGCACACGTCATTCCGATGCCATCTGCCTGAGCCGCAGCCTACCAACTGCTGCACTCCACACCAAGAGCACCTGTACCCTGTACTGTATCCCTAAAACCCTGAGGTAAGGATCCAAGTACCCAAGAAGTAGTAGGTACTTGGGTATTGGGTAATAGTGATGGTAGAGGTTTTGGGTAAGTATATGAGTATTGGGTCCTTGGACCCTTAGGGGCTTAGCAACCTTGCCCCGCCCAACGCGCAACGCGGCGTTGCCAACGCCACTCGGCAACGTGCTCCCTGATTTTGTCCGAAACGCCTTTAGAATTGAATTGTTTACAAGTGCTTATAACCCCCGGCAACGCCCAACGCAAAGAAACTACCACCGGCCTGGTCAAACGTTTCGCAACGCCTTGTATCAAGCAGCGTATCCCAAGGGCCAAAACCTTCAGCATCGGGCCTGCCCTGCTGCTCTTACTGGCGCTTCTACAAATAACTATTCTTACCAAAAGGAAGATGCTGTTCCACCCCAAACAAATGCTAGTGAACGAGTGGCACGTTGGATCTGTGTTTCCAGGGCCCTCCACTACGTATTTCCAAGAAATATATTGTTGAGGATGCGTTTCAGGGCTTTCCAAGAACGCATTTCCCAGCAAA